TGCTAGACGGGGAAGTTGCCCAAGGTCAAGGGTTCGGGGATTATCTTGTGGAGTACAACAACCCCGAGATTAGCGGGATAACGACTCGAGACCCGCTCAAGATGCTTTCTTTCCCCCTCAAGGCCTGTGGTCTTCATTTCGAACGGTACGTGCTAGTGAGTCCGATTCCATCTTTATAACTTACCTGGCTTCTTTAGTCATATCGACGAGTTACCCATCCACATCTCGAAAGCGGTGATCGAGAGGCTCAAGTCAATACGCTGGCTCAACACTCAGGAAGAAATCAATGAATGGCATCATTTCGCCGCCGCTCAAACTGATCCGGATATTCAAAGTGAGAATGAATCACTTGATCACATAGACATTTATTAACACTTTTGCAAGACTGGTACCGTCAGAAACTGGCAAATCCGTGGATCCTTCCCTCTGTAAACGAGTTCCTTTCGGAGATTAGTAGTGATAACTGGGACACTACTCCGGATCATTCCAATCTCGTGGAGACCGCCCATGCTGGCCGCAACGCGGAGACGTCTAAGGGAGTAGCTCTGCTCACGGGAATCGAACAGTTTGTTTTTACAATCGCAAGTCGACTGCCCGCTCATTTCTCCATAGATGCGAGCAGCGCGATAATATCCTAGCGGCCGAACTAGTCCAGTGCGAACGGGATGGTGTCTCGCGCCACCGGTTCAATGGCGCCGCCGAGCGCGAAAAATTATCCGCACAACGCAGGATCTGGCACATGCGGAAGAAAGCTGCTCGGAACGAACAAATTACTGGATACGAGGCGCTGAAGTCCGAGCGCGAGGACGGTTTTGTCGAGAACAAGCATTCGCTCGAGCGGCAAAAAATACTTGAGGGCCAAATCAAGTCGCTGCAAGAGGAGGTTAAAATTGACAAGCGTCGCACTGACCTCAAGGACCAGATTAACGGGCTGCGCCGAGACGTTGAGGAAGAGAAGTCTGGACGTCGAGAGTGGACGGTTCGTCGGACTGAAATTGACAATCAACTCGACGCACTACGCAGTGGCCCTTTGGCGGGGACTCGCATCAATGGAAGACGACCAACCGAACGTCCCGTGGGGGAGCCTGAACCTGCAGTGGCCTTGCCGGTGGCGCCAGTGAGCGCCCTTCACGGCGAAGATTCTGATAGAAGTTTGTTTGCCCATGACTCGGTTTTTTGTGGGGTGGACTGACCGTCTTCCAGATCTAGTTGGCGCAAATCAGGTGGAACTTGAATACATAGGCCCACCCGGTGGCAGTATAGGCAGTGTTGAACACGGTAATTTTCATCCAGGCCCTTCCCGATTCCAGGCAGTGAGTTAATTTCACCTTAGATCCCGCCACCTTTGTGCCGGACGAGCACATAATGTTTTTCGATGGGCCGGAGAACAACGGTGTTGTTGTTGCGGGCGGTAATTTCCATCCAGGCCCTTCGCGATCCCAACCAGCAACTTATTTATACCAGATCCCGCCACTTATCCGTCCGATGAGCTTATGTATTTTTTCGATCAACCGGAGAACGGCGGCACGGCAAACACCCCAACGACCTATGATTTGTATGGCGCTTACTCCATGGCGCAGGAAAACTGGAACGCGGGTTCGTCTTAATTGACCGATGTGTTCAATGATTCAAATCATCGCAGAATTTGCTACGACACTTGGAAATGAACTTCAAGATGGCGGCTCATCGCATCGGTATGCGGCCGGGACTTTTGAAGGTGAACACACTTCCTTCTTGAATCTCACACAGTCTAATACCTTCACCCAGATCCCTTTGCTGCTGCAGCTCTTGACCAGCGCACACTCCAGTGTATGTCACTTTTCAACCACCGCTCACATAGCAATAAAGGATCTCTAGATTTGGCATCAGATTATTCCGCCAAGCCTGATATGGAAGACTCCGCTTACCTCGAGTCTGGCGAGTTCGATTTCCTCACCAGCTACTTGGCCAACACCTCTGCGGCCGCCTCGGGACTGGGTGATTCCAACGTTGACAATTCCTCCCCAAACTTCGACGATCAACTCCACAATGCCGGCCCGACGTACAACTTGCCGCATTCGGCTCCCTTGACAGCATCTTCACCCCCTATCCCTCCCACTCCCGTCGAAGTTGAAGCAATGGAGAAAAGAGTAACCCGGAAGCGCAAATCCGAAGTGGATGTGAACGATATTATTCCGGGAGGTCGAAGCAGCCGTCTCAGAACTAAAAATCCAAAGGTTCGAGCCGATATGTAGCTAGTTCCCATACAGCACTGTATAAAAATCGCAACCCAATTTGGCCACATTCCTTCACAACTGTTACGCAGCTGGACTAGAATTTACTTGATTCCGAATGACCAATTGCCCGCTCCTCTTTATGAAAATTCCGTCCGTCCGGCCACGTTGGAAAGGCCAGAAACATATCTGAGATGAGTGGAGGTAAGTATATAGGGCCTCTTGTGGTCCACACTAACGAGACGTAGCCCTGTGCACTGTTTAGCTGGCGCGTCATGATCACATGACCGTGTTCCCCGGGCCGTAATTTGTATTCACCGATTTCGAGAGTTCGGCCATATCGGCAGTTACTATAAGCAATAATAATTGCCTGGATGTATCTCGACCTTGGACACACCGTGTTCGTATTTGTTCGTACTAGATGCAAGCCGGACTGATTGCCCTGATCGCCAGCACGGCGGCATCACCTCAATATCACCTGCTAAACGAGTCCCACTTTTGATGGCAGTACTTTATTCAAGTGGGACTGTACTGGTAGGTGTTACGTGTACTGATGGTGGGACTGGTCGAGTCCCACTCCCACCGTTCTCGTATATACTCGCACTCCCCCCCTCGCCGCAACTACAGAACCATCGACTGGAAAAAGTTCCAACCCCTCCTCACCGTTCACTTCGCCGCCCACCCTCTCCCTCCTCTCCTTGCCCCAGCACACTGACGAATAGACTGACGTGCTCATCTCCGGTATCAACACCGTTCTGGATAACTTTGTTCCCCTCTGTAGCCCATCCCCCTGCACCAACAGGTGGTGGAACAGAGAGCCAATGGAGCTCCGAATGGCCTACAAAAGCGTGCACCGTGCAATAGTCAAGGACGACCCGGAGGACCTGAGTTGGGACACGATGCGGACAGCAAAGAACACGTACCATAGCGCGCTGTGAGCGATCACTTTGTGATGCGCTCTCGCAGAGCCAAATCGAGCCTCAAATGGACTAATCCGCAAAGCACGCATAATAGAAGTGGAGCAGGCTCTTGCCTCACCAACAAGAGTCTGGGTGTCGTTCTTATCCCATATAAAGAGCTTTCTGCCATTGTGTAGTGGAGCAAGGGACTAAAGGTCACCCCCATGAAGGAGTTTCACCAAGGCGGTCCTCGAGGTTCATCCAGCGCGGTGTGATGCGGAGTGCGTGTCTGTGTATTGGCTGACCAGGTGGGTTTAAGTCAGACAATGATCACAGTATTTTATTCGTCCTCTAGAGGGAAATTGGTTCTGTCACTAGAGAGCACGCGCTTTATCGTGTATTTGGGGTAATTAATTTGTTGGTTGAATGAACAACCAGTCCCGTTCCTTAAGGAATGGGCTTCGTATGCGACTAGGTTCCTCGCAGATATGACTCTGCGCTGGTGCTAATCCTTCCAAACAAGCCTCGCTTGGGGGACTTTCTACACTCGCGGAGTGATTTATGTGCCCAACGATGCGAATTTCTTCCCAATACGGGATGCCTGGGCTATGTGGTGCTTTTCTAGTTCCTCCTTGCATCGTCTATGTCCGCACAAGCAGTATCTTCAGAACTGTGATATCCCTCACAATCCTGGTTCTTCTGTGCGGAGCAGGGCCGGGTGCTGTGTTTACATGCGGCGCTCGGGGGAGAAAGTGTATCGGAGTGGTTATAATCGACGGGTTAAGCCTTCCGCGCCGATGGGGTGGTTCCCTATACGAGGATTTCGTACTTGAGTTTCCAAACAAGCACAGTTGCACGCAGCTAAGTTGGGCTGCTGGCTGTATGGATGTTTTTAGACCGTTTCTACACACGTCTTTTTCAACGTCTGCTGATATTTTTATTGCACGATAGCAAGCACCGCTATTATACACGAAGAATCACGCTGGTTTCCTTGATGAAACTCTTTAACAATACGTGGAGCGACCTTTCCTCCCTTCCTCCACTACTTGGGGCAAAAGATACGACTACATAAGAAGAGGAGGACCTCAACTTCCGCTGGTGAGGCGGGAGTGGGCTTTTAGAGCTGAGCAGTGGGTGGTAATAAGATAACCTCCTACGACAAACACGTCCCCCTTTTATACTAATTCCCCCATCACCCTTTGGCACCTGTTTCTATTCCTTCTCTGCGCCAGAGCACTCGGTGCCCAGTGCTGCGAACAAATTCCCCACACGCACAGTGCCCAAGACAGCCACCTTTTCCCTTTGCAGCCCATTTCTTTCCCAGGCACGGCGCGATTCTCCCATGATCGGCGCCCGAAATTCAGAGTTACCCCCATCCTTCTTCCTAGACTCGCACGGCCGGTGCCATCCCCTTATTGCCTCCATGTCCGGCGCCCTTGCGCTAAGAAACTCATTTTGCTATCCCCCCGATGTAATGGTCCAATGGCGCCCCCATACGTACGAACATATCGGCTTTAGGATTCGCGGTGAGCTCGCCTTGCTGCATTAAAATTGCCTTTTTGTGCATGGCGCCCTGCCCTTGGTTGGCTTTTGCTATGTTTTCTTGCTTGTAGCTGCGCCTGTATAATAAGTTTTGTGAATCCTTTGTGTGGCACCTATATGTTTAGTGAAGGGAATTCGGGATCGTAGGCCTGGTGGTGTAATCGGTAACACGTTACATTCGGTCCCGCTAATTGTCCACCGTTTTCGCATAATATTCTCGTTCGACTCGGGGTCAGGCCTCCTTTTTGCACAGCGCCGTTATTTTGTAGCTGTCCTGCGGTACTTGGCTTTTTGTGTAGCAGCGCTTGTCTTGCATATACCAGCTAGCGAGGGAGTTCGAGATGCAGGCCTGGTGGTGTAATTGGCTATCGCGCTGCACTGCGTCATATGTAATTAATTAGGAATGCATGAGATCACTGTTCGACTCGGGGTCAGGCCATCCTTCCAAAACCGACTGCTTTTCTTTTTCTCAGCGCAAGCCTTTATTGCATTATGATTCTGAGCGCGTTATTGAGCGCCATTGCTTTGTGAGTTTATTCGATATTCTGCCGCGGTCTGAGCACATCACAAAGTGATGGCTCACAGCGGCCGCGCGCTCGGAAAATATTGTAAAAAGGCGTTGAGAGGCACGCGCGGAAGCGGCCAAATCATCTGTACAGCTAGCAGCCCGACTTAACTGCGTGCAACTGTGCAAGTTTGGGACTCAAACACGGATCCACGCGCAGGGAAACACCCCATCGACGCAGAAGGCTTAACCAAGTCGATTATAACCACTCCGTCACCACTTCTACCCATTTCGACACCCGTGCGCGCCGTATAAACCGCGCGCTCGGCATTGCTCTGCACAGAAAAACCAGGATTGCGATGGATATAGTTAAAATCCACCGGTAGCGCGCTCCGACTGTTCTGAAGGCACTGCCTGCTCGGACATATACGAGGCAGGGAGATAAGGAAAAACCCACATATCCCACGTATCCCGTACAGGACCGAAGATCTCTCCTGCAAGTGTAGAAGGTCTTCCTTGCGTGGCTTTCTTGGAAGAACTAGTCACAACATGGAGTCTCATTTGTAGGGAACCTAGTTAAAAGTTACAAATTCCATCCTTCGGGAAGGGAAACTGTACCACCCCAAATTAAATACCCCACACACATATAAAAACTAGCATGAGGAGGAGATGTGTCACTGCTTCGATTGCGAGTGATCTTCTGCCAAGGATCCATACAAGGTTGAACCAGAACCTGAACCATGGGACTGTGTGCGGAATAACCCGACGCAGTCGTATGTCGAATAATCCAGGATTAATCCGGTAAGGTGTGGTTCATTCCAGTTTGCTACCCAATGTTGCTTGTGAAGAGGGTCAATGTAGCAGGACATGTTCGAGAATGTGTGCTCGAACACCGACGACTCTAGACCAGTAGTACGAGTGCTCTGCCATGGTGGGTTGGTGATAGGCCCGATGCCCATGCAGGCCTCTACCGGATAACATCCCGAGGTGCTGCATTTGCTAATCCATCGTGGACGCAAGTTGGTGAGGACATGTCTGATGCCAAACCACTACTCCCTGAGGCCGCGGTAACCACTCGTAGACCAGAGAGTCGAAAATAGAAGCCAAGGGGGTTACCGACAAAGAGATACACGAGAAGGCAGAACTAGAGGCAACGAGAGAGACCGAAGCAAGATCAGCTTAAGTCACACACAAGTCCAGTCAAGGCCAAAGTAAGCACACCGCCAAAACGGAAATTCTGGCTTGGGTGAAAACATTCCCGAAAGCTTTAGATTCAGATACAAAATAGACAATGCTGAAGATGCAGACAAAGCAGGAAGATTCACCCACGTCGAAAACGTTGCTGAAACTTGTGAACTCAGCAACGTTTTCGGCCGGGCTGAAAGGAGGGATTTCAGCCCCAATTTCATCGCGCCTGAAAGCGTAGCCGAAACTAGAGGATTCGGCAGCGGTTTCAACTTGGTCGAAGCCCACGCTTTCAGCCGAGTTGAGAGTGAAACCTGAATTAGTAGTTTCGGGGGCGCTTTCGGCTTAGCTGAAAGCACTCACTTCGGGCCGGCCCAAACTGAAGCTGAAAACAATAGTTTCAGCTGCACTTTAGGGCGGGTCGAAAGCACACCCTATTCTTATTGTTTCCGGTAAGGTTTCGGCTTCGACCGAAATCATTGGTTTCCAGCCAGCCGAAATTAATCTGCCGCTCGCTGGCTTCTCAGCGGCTGCTCAGCGGCTGCGGCAGCGGCAGCGGTACATGTAGGCGGCTTTGAACTTTTTTTTCTCTCTCTCGCCAAATGTGACAAAAACATATTGTATTCGTAATGGAGAAGAGTTAAGTATTCAGTGAAAGCACCTTCCATCGACACAATTATTTACCAAGACATGTTATTTGGTCAAGTTATGGCTCGACGCAGCCACGTGATTATGGTGGTGCAGCCTTTTGTTCAGCCTTGTGTTCTCTAGTCAATTGTTTGGCGTTAGTGTTTACTAATCCCCCGCGCGGGTTGCAATTGCCCGCGGCCGGTGAATCTCGATCCCCTGACGTCGGGTCCTTATGCTGAGGGCTGCCTCCTACTCGTTCAACTTACACGACAAAAGCCAAAACCGAATACAGCGCCACCGCCGAATAGGGGTGTTGTGGGAATCTTACCCAATATATATAGCCTTTTGGCGGTAGGCAGAAGTGCAGTTCTACCACCACATTCAATAGTGTTTTGGCCGTGTTTATCGAAGTTCAACCTTGCACGAGGATGTCATCGGCGGCAGGTGCCGCTCAATTACAAAAGAAGAAGAAGAAACTCGCAGCGGAGAAGAAGCCGATTAAGTGATAATCGGTGGCAGCCCTACTCAAACTGACCTTCAGCTGCATTGCTTCACCTGCAGATTATGATGCAGACTTGATGTAGACGGGAGAAAAAACGTTTGAGAAAATATTTCTATTCCATTTGAGAAGAGAGGAACGCACAAAGATAACGAAGCAGCGCAATCCGCTAGTAGAGCGAGGGAAGTGGGAAAGTGTTCTCTTGAAGTAGGTGCAGCATTGCGTGGCTTGGAACAAATATTGTTCGGTAAATTTGTTGAGTGTGGATGCGGTAAATTGCGTGTAGCGTGTCGAACATAGTGAAGTACCCAAAATATGAATTCCTGAGTGGTAGTGGCAGCAATTTCGGGCGTGGTCGGCACCAGTACTCCCCATAATTTCAGGTACCCGTTATACCTTCGGTAAGTGGCGGGTATACTCGCGACCAGAGCTTTCACGGCAAGTTGAAAATAACTTATAAGCTGTCGCCAGTGCCGCTGCTGCGCCGCAGACCTACTCGCGTGCAAAATGCGATGTGGGGAAATCCTACTCTTTATAAGATTACGCCTGTCTGTCCGAAGCCTTTTAAGCTCCGCCGATAACATCACACTTGGCAGCGGCACCACTGATCCCACTGCCAAAAAGCCGCATTGGCAGAAATGGCGAAGATGTCGAGTTCCGGCCAATCATTCCCTCATCATTCTAGCTCAACAGCTTTATTTTCAGCTCTTAGCAGCTTCTCGGCGTCGGCACTTCGTGTTCTGCGACGGTATCAGCCATCGATCGAAGTGGGGGGGCGCTTCGCGCCCCACCGCGCTCTTGTATTCTTTAAAGTTAGCAACCGAAATCCGGTGGCCGCAGGGAGTCGGGCAGTTGAGCAGCCGCTAAACAGTCAACATCAACAGCTTACAAAATGTCAACTGGGAAATTCCGGAGCGCACGCTTCGAGCGTGCTTCTCGTAAACTTGCCTCGTGAGCAGTACTTGTAGGTGAGCGCAAGTCAACTTTTTGTCTCTTCTCCCAATGCCAACTCCTCTCTACCGAACGATCCCCCGCAATACTACCCCTGGTCCTACGCCCCCAAGTCCATGCCGCCTGCCCGAGCATCAGCCCATCCTTGCACACCCGTCCTGGCATCGCCATAACCCGCACAGGAGGGAAATAAGCGACGTCCCGACGCTCCTCGGAAACAGGAGGTGCACACGGTTCCTAGGTATGAGTATTGTGTAGTAGCTAGTCGTATGTTGTGTGTAGTACTGTAAAAATTATTTCAATGCATTTTCTTCGTGTTTATCCGTGTGTGAAGTGGTAGTCAAGGCCTCGTAATATGAGGAGGGGGACACCATAATAACACATGGCACAGCGGTATTGACAGGTGTGTGAGTTTCTTCCTCCCTCTGGTGATGGGCGCCCGGGACGCCCGTCACTGTGCATAGATAAAGAAACCATTAGAGCAATTATTGAGGACCAGAGTCACTCTGTCTTAGATTTGCTGGAAGATGTAATCTCTTGAATGCTAGGTTGCTTGCTCTGTATGGTGATGGGCGCCCGGGACGCCCATCACTGTACAGAGCGGTATTGACAGTTGTGTGAGTTTTTTCCTCCCTCTGGTGATGGGCGCCCGGGACGCCCGCCACTGTGCACAGATAAAGAAACCAGAGTAATTATTGAGGACCAGAGTCACTCCTGTCTTAGACTTGCTGGGAGATGTAATCTCTCGAATGCTTTAAGTTAGGTTGCTTGCTCTGTATGGTGATGGGCGCCTGTAATAAGCTGGTAGAGAGAGAGCACGATAGCCGAACGTATACGGTACTGAGGCTTGACAGTTTCTTTGAATGTAGACGAGGCGTTGAATGTGACGCATGCAGCGGCACAACACACCCAGAACAACGTCCTCACGGACCCGGCGGTTTGAGACGAGTTGACTGTCGGTGTCAAAGGGATTACAAAGTTGAACCACATACGGCATGCCGCGGCAATGCAGGAGTAGTTTCCGCTGTTTCAAAATTTACGGTCGGCGCCAGGAGGGCAAGGGGGTACCGGCATTTAAACCGGCGACTAAGGGCTGGTTAGTTAGTCCGGCCGTCAGGCTGGAAAAAAAAAACTTTGACCACCACTTTTTGGCCAAGAATAGTCTTTTGACCAATGCCAGGGAGCTCAATTTGGCCCTCAGAGTGCTGAATACTCTTAAGATGGCATGTTTCCTACCTGCACCTGCTGCCTCAGTAGAAGTCCATATATGGTAACCGAAATGATAAGTCTGGAAAGGTCGAGAATTGTCTTTGGAAGGTTGTTTTTGGAGAGATAGCCCTCCACTTGTGTCCTACCTTGGAAAAGAACTCACTATGGATGGTGCACAACGATTTTTGCATTCACCGGTGACTTGAACACGTAACAAATTACCATATATGGTGCATGGGAACGTTACGTTAGTTGGTTAGTCCAGCGGCCGAGTCGGAAAAAAGAAAAACAGCCCTATATTTTTTTTTCGAATGCCGGTACCCCCTTGGTAATCTCTTGAATGCTGGGTTGCTTGCTCTGTATGGTGATGGGCGCCCGGGACGCCCATCACTGGACAGAGCGGTATTGACAGGTGTGTGAGTTTCTTCCTCTCTCTGGTGATGGGCGCCCGGGACGCCCG